GGGGGCTCGCGGGCCGGGGGGCTGTGGTGTGGGGCCCCCAGGCGGGCAGGGTGACCTGGGGGCTCGTCTGTTTCAGAACCAGGAGGACAGCACCTCCAGCAACCCGTACGTGCTGCCGAGTGCCGTCACGCCGCCCCTGCCCACCTTTGCCCGGGTCTCCAACGCCTAGCGGGCCGGGGGGCTGTGGTGTGGGGCCCCCAGGCGGGCAGGGTGACCTGGGGGCTCGTCTGTTTCAGAACCAGGAGGACAGCACCTCCAGCAACCCGTACGTGCTGCCGAGTGCCGTCACGCCGCCCCTGCCCACCTTTGCCCGGGTCTCCAACGCCTACGGCTCCTACCAGGACTCCAACATCCCCTTCCCCCGCACCCCAGGAGCCAGGTTCTGTGGCGCAGGTGGGTTAGAGCCCCGCACAAGGGGCCCGGGGCTTGGCCACGCCCCCAGCTAAGGGTGGGCGTGGTTAGCGTGCTGGCTGGGAGGGGGCCCGGTCCTTGGCCACGCCCCCGGCTAAGGGTGGGTGTGGTTAGCGTGCTGGCTGGGAGGGGGCCTGGGCATTGGCCACGCCCCCGGCTAAGGGTGGGTGTGGTTAGCGTGCTGGCTGGGAGGGGGCCTGGGCATTGGCCACGCCCCCGGCTAAGGGTGGGTGTGGTTAGCGTGCTGGCTGGGAGGGGGCCTGGGCATTGGCCACGCCCCCGGCTAAGGGTGGGTGTGGTTAGCGTGCTGGCTGGGAGGGGGCCTGGGCATTGGCCACGCCCCCGGCTAAGGGTGGGTGTGGTTAGCGTGCTGGCTGGGAGGGGGCCTGGGCATTGGCCACGCCCCCGGCTAAGGGTGGGTGTGGTTAGCGTGCTGGCTGGGAGGGGGCCTGGGCATTGGCCACGCCCCCGGCTAAGGGTGGGTGTGGTTAGCGTGCTGGCTGGGAGGGGGCCTGGGCATTGGCCACGCCCCCGGCTAAGGGTGGGTGTGGTTAGCGTGCTGGCTGGGAGGGGGCCTGGGCATTGGCCACGCCCCCGGCTAAGGGTGGGTGTGGTTAGCGTGCTGGCTGGGAGGGGGCCTGGGCATTGGCCACGCCCCCGGCTAAGGGTGGGTGTGGTTAGCGTGCTGGCTGGGAGGGGGCCTGGGCATTGGCCACGCCCCCGGCTAAGGGTGGGTGTGGTTAGCGTGCTGGCTGGGAGGGGGCCTGGGCATTGGCCACGCCCCCGGCTAAGGGTGGGTGTGGTTAGCGTGCTGGCTGGGAGGGGGCCTGGGCATTGGCCACGCCCCCGGCTAAGGGTGGGTGTGGTTAGCGTGCTGGCTGGGAGGGGGCCTGGGCATTGGCCACGCCCCCGGCTAAGGGTGGGTGTGGTTAGCGTGCTGGCTGGGAGGGGGCCTGGGCATTGGCCACGCCCCCGGCTAAGGGTGGGTGTGGTTAGCGTGCTGGCTGGGAGGGGGCCTGGGCATTGGCCACGCCCCCGGCTAAGGGTGGGTGTGGTTAGCGTGCTGGCTGGGAGGGGGCCTGGGCATTGGCCACGCCCCCGGCTAAGGGTGGGTGTGGTTAGCGTGCTGGCTGGGAGGGGGCCTGGGCATTGGCCACGCCCCCGGCTAAGGGTGGGTGTGGTTAGCGTGCTGGCTGGGAGGGGGCCTGGGCATTGGCCACGCCCCCGGCTAAGGGTGGGTGTGGTTAGCGTGCTGGCTGGGAGGGGGCCTGGGCATTGGCCACGCCCCCGGCTAAGGGTGGGTGTGGTTAGCCGCTCTCCGGAGCTGGTCCTGTCTCCACAGGCTACCTGGTGTATTTCACGCGGCCCATGACGATGCACCGCGCTGTCTCTCCGACGGAGCCCACGCCCAGGTGAGCCTGCCCCGGAGCTGTGCCTGGGCAGCCCCGCCCGGCCGAGGGCCTGGTCCGCGGGCAGCCCTGAAAGCTGCTTCTCTTGCCTGGCAGATCTCTGTCCGCTCTGTCGGCCTATCACAGCGGCCTGATCACGCCCATGAAGATGCGCACGGAGACCACGGCCAACCGGGCAGCCTCCCCCGCAGCGAGAAGGAGCAGGTCTCCATCAGCTCCTTCTACTACAAGGAGAGGGTAAGGGCCGGCCTGGCGCACGAGTGGCTGGGCAGCGTCCTTCTGCCCGGGCGCAGCCGCCCTGAACCGTCCCTGGCGCCTGAGTGGAGGGTCTCTGCCCCCGCCCCCAGGGCAGCGAGTGGTGTGGGCCCGGTGCCCATGCTCCAGCTCTGTCAGGGCCCTGGGGCACCGGCTCCCCCAGGGTCGGGCTGGGTGTCGCTTCTGTGTGCCCCCCGCCCCTCACCTGACCTGTGCCTGCGCTCCCTCGCTGGCTGCAAGCGAGCAGCACGGCCCCAAGCCCCGTTCCCACCCGGTGTCCCCAGCTCTTCGCAGTCTGCCTGGGACTTCCCTGGTTTGTCAGCTTTCCCTTTGCGCTCGCGGGTTGCTTGTGGAAACGTGTCCGGGCACCGCTGAGCCGAGCCCTTACGCTGGGGCTTCTCTCCGCCTCCTGGGAGGGGCGCTGTGCGGAGACCCACGCAGGCAATGCGGCAGCTGGACCGTTCGTTCGTTCTTAACTGTAGCGTTTCAGCATGCCAGTAATGGGGACTGGGCGGCTGCTTCTCCCGCGGGAAACCGTCTTGCTCACCAAGGGGCAGGGTGGGTCCGAACGGAGACTGGAACGAACCCCCCTCGCAGCAGGTCCCCTTTCTTCTTGTTAAACAAACCGCGCTGCGGTGACCAGCTCCTCAAGCGGCATTTCACACGTGCCGCTGGCTGGTTTCTCTGTAGCCAGGGAAGGAACCTGCTTATTTCAGGGCAGCCCACAGAATTCCTTGAGCTGTGGCGAGGTGGAAGGACCGGGGCTTAAGCTCATGAAAAAGAGAGCCCCTGAAATGACCGAGACTGAGCTGTGCCAAAAGTCCTGTGTCCAGAGGAGCAGCCTCTGAGTGTTGTGCGGGTTGAGCCCTGAACAGGTTTTGTGTTAAATTCAGGGTTCGTTTAAATTAGGTTTCCTTTTTAAAAAGAAAAAATTATTTAATAAAAAAAAAATCCAATTAAATAAAACTGATTTTCTTTAAACAAAATCAGTTTTGCCCACCCCTCCGGCAGAGAGCAGCCAAGGTAAATTTCTGCCAAATCCATGAATATTTCAGAAGAATAACTAGATGTTTAAACTGCAAATGCCCCACAGGCATATCCGCAGCAATTGCTCCCAGAGGGGTAGCTGGAGCCACCACAAAATGAAATCGATCCATTGCCAGACAGAAAATACACTCGACTTGTCCTGGAGAGGCAGCTAAGCTGCTGAGATCTCCCTGGACAGCAGAATGAAAACGGAGCGTGAGTCTCTGAGAATGAATGTGCCCTCCCACCCTCTACCCTAGGGTGTGTCTAGACTACATGCCTCCTTCGACGGAGGCATGTAGATTAGCCAGATCGGAAAAGGGAAATGAAGCCGCGATTAAAATAATCGCGGCTTCATTTAAATTTAAATGGCTGGGGCCCGCCCC